ACTGCATTCCAGCCTGGGTGACAGAGCGACACTTGTCAAAAAAAAAAAAACTGAAAACAGTTTAATGCCCATCAGCATTAGAAGAGATAAACCGTGGTGTCGTAAGTATTATGAGATTGACTGCTACACAGCAACGAGAATGAATGAACGAGACCTGTACCTAACAGCATGGAACAGTCTTCAGACACTGAACGAAGAAGGCAGAGACAAAAACAACAACCTAACCTTTGGTGTTAGAAATCAGGGCAGTGTTTGCCTTAGGAGCAGGAGTGATGAGAATAGGCTTGGAAGGCAGCTGGGGGGAGTGGGGAGGTTCTGGGGAACTGCTGACGTTCTGGCTCTTCATCTGGGATCTGGTTTCACGGGTAAGTTCACTCAGTGAAAATTTATCAAGCTGTGCATTTATAATGTATGTGATTTTCTGTATGTATGCTAGACTTTAATAAATAATTTCCATATAACATGGAAGCTAAACTATAATTTTTACAAGACAAATTCTAGAGAAAGAGCTAATATTTAGTGCCAAATGCACAGTAGGTGGTGAATGATTTTTTTAAAGCACAGAGGACCCTCAGATGTAAGATTACATATTCCCAGCTTTCCCGGCTTCTCTCTAAGCAATGACTCACATCTTTACTTAGTATACCTAAAGTTTTTTCTAATTACAAGAGGGAATGCATAATTATTATAAGACATTTAGAAAAATACAGAAAAAACAGTAAAGAAGAAAACTGTAAAATACCCACTGCTCCACAAACTCTGAGTTTATGTAAAGTGTTTTTATTTCTCATCATGTTTTTGCACTTTTACACTAACGTGCAAGTGTGTTTTTATCTTATTCATTTAGCAGTGTGCAGTAAACGCTTTTCTTTGTTATAATAAAGAAATAAAAGTGAAGGTAAGATAAAGACATTTCCAGACTTCCCCTCAAAAAAAAAAAAAAAGGAAAGAATTCATTGCCAACAACTCACACTAAAAGACAGGTAAAGAGGAGATTTTCGAGCAAAGGAGTATAATCCCAGACGGAAAGCAAAAAAAATAAGGCAATTAAGAAAATCCCTGGAAAGGCTAAACATTCGGGCAAAATTAATGAAATCTGACTATGTAAAACAAAATGAATAGACAACAAAAATTCAAAGGATTAAATTACAAGGAAGCAATAGCATAAAAGGGCAGGAGGGGTGAATAGAGTGAAAGCTTTCCAGAGTTGTGGCCTTGCCCGGCAAGTGGTAAAAGTATCGCTGCATGTTAGTCTCCAGAAAGTCAAGGATGCGCGCTCTAGCCTCCAGCAGAATCACCACTGCAAGAACAGCAGTTTCACTAACAAGCTAATGATGGAGGAAGTGAAATAACAGGATTTACTCATTTCATCCAAAAAAAGGAAAGAAAAAAATGAGCATAGATTAGATGGGATAAATGTAAAACCCGCAATACAATGCAAGGTCTAAACCCAAACAAATCAGTTACTGGATTAAGTGTTTATTAAACAATAGATAACAAGTGTGAAAGGTTGGAGTAGCCGGGCGCTGTGGCTCACAGCTGTCATCCCAGCACTTTGGGAGGCTGAGGCTGGTGGATCACCCAAGGCCGAGAGTTGGAGACCAACGCAACCAACATGGAGAAACCCCATCTCTACTAAAAATACAAAATTAGCTGGGTGTGGTGGCACATCCCTGCAATCCTAGCTACTTGGGAGGCTGAGGCAGAAGAATCGCTTGAACCTGGGAGGTGGAATAAGGTTGGACTGAATACTCCAATTCAAAGGTGAAGATTTTCAGGCGCTGTTATTTTTAATCCAACTATACGCCCCTGATATCACAGAAATGCTGAAAGGTGAAGGATGGAAGACAGCTCAGGTTTATTTCTGGCTCCTCTAAGGGGCACCAGATGCTGGGTGGCCTCCGGGGCATGAGCGGGCTGTCCTCCCCCCATGGCCTTGGTGAGTCTCACACAGCATTCAATGCTCCCTACAGGATGTGGCCAGGATTGCTCTACTCACATGTCATCGCCAAAGCACACCAAAGTCACCGCTTCCTCCAGCACAGCACCCCACGCACAGAGGGAGCCCAATGCCACATGGTCCCTGCAGGTGGCCAGCCCAGGGGGAGAGGGTGGCACCCAGAGACAGAGGCCACGCCTTCATCCAAGTGTGAGCTGTGGCTCTCACTTTCAGCCGTGGTCAAAGACTTCTCCTCGGCCAGTCTCCAGCAGATGTCCCCTTCTGGTCATAGCAGTCAGGGCAGCCGGGCATGGTGGCTCACACCTGTAATCCCAGCACTTTGGGAAGCCAAGGCAGGAGAATCACTTCAGGTCAGTAGTTTGGAACCAGCCTGGGCAACATAGCAAAGCCCCATCTCTACAAAAATTAGCCAGATGTGGTGGCACATGCCTGTAATCCCCGCTATTCAGGAGGCTGAGGCAGGAGGATCACTTAAGCCCAGGAGGTGGAGGTTGTAGTGAGCTGGTTCACTTGGTTCAATTTTGTCCAGGTCCCCAGTGGTTTCAAATTCGGGCAAGAAGAGGATGGCTTCCCCTTGGACGCTCTGGGCTGGTGCACTCTGGGACGATTCCGTGAGTTTTAGGGCTTCGGGCATAGCTGGCGTCCAGTAGGCAATCAGCTGCACATGCCAGGGCCGGTGGGGAGCCTGGATCTGGAGATACAGCTGCAGAAGTGCCCTAGGTATCTTTTGCTGCACAAACAACACCCCCTAACTTAGTCAAATAACCAATTTCTGATGCACATCTGTGGGTCATGAATTTGGACAAAACCATCCAGTGTGGATGGTATGTGTCTGTGCTATGAAATCTGGGACCTCAGTAGGGAAGAGGTATTGTGAGCTGGGAGTGTGTGAGACCCAATCCCCATCTTGACCTGAGAAGTGGTGTGACCTCAATACTGATGAGTTGTCAAAGAGAAGTGAGGCGCCCTGCCACTGCCCTGGAGGCTCAAGCCTCCCCGAACCTCCTCTCTCCATGCCAAATGTGGGCCTTGTAAGGGGGTTCCCAGGGAGCCAGGGGTTCACATGCTCTGCTGCCCTCTGGAGACACCCCAGCACCCCATGCTTCTCTACTCACACTCACATACACATATACACTCACACCCACAAACACACTCTCACACACACATTCACACATCCTTGCACACATATACTCACACAGACCCTTCCCAACAGGCAAGACAGTGCCTCTTGCTCAGACATGGGAGCCCTTCCCGGACCAAAGGACCAGCAGCCAAGCAAGGGCGGGAGCCCTCCTCATCTGATCGTCATTTTTATTGGTGGCCTGGGACTCTTCAGGCAGAGGAAAGGGAGGAGGCACTGGTGAAATTTCACAGGGAAGCTGAAGAGAAGCCACAGCCAGGAACTGCCCACTCATGGGAGCAGCCTCTCTCTTCCCACCTCTGCCAGGAGGATGTAGGCCCCGGAGTTCCCCAGCTGAAGAAGGGAGGTTGAGGGAAGGTCACCCCTCTCCCCTCCTGTGGAGTGAGGAGAGTGCCCTGTGCCCTGTGCTTGGGATAGACTGGGGCCATGCCCGTCTGGCATTGCCACACCTTTGTCCTCTCTGTGCTCCTGGTCCCTTCATCATTGCAAGCGTTGGTTTCTGCCTCTGTCAAACGAGCATTTTAATGTCATAAAGCTTCCCAGGTTATTTGCGGAGAATCCCATGGCAGTGCTCATGAACGCACTCTGTACACTGTTAATGCAAGCACTGTAAAATACCATCATTAAAAATCATAGTTTCTGGCCAGGCGCAGTGGCTCATGCCAGTAATCCCAGCACTTTGGGAGGCCAAGGCAAGAAGATCACCTGCGGTCAGGAGTTTGAGATCAGCCTGGCCAGATGGTGAAACCCCGTCTCTACTAAAAATACAAAAATTAGCCAGGTGTGGTGGTGGAGGCACCTGTAATCCCAGCTACTCGGGAGGCCGAGGCACAAGTACTGTTTGAACTCGGGAGGCGGTGGTTACAGTGAGCTGAGATGGCGCCACTGTACTCCAGCCTGGGCAACAGAGGGAGACTCTGCCTCAAAAAAAAAGAACAAATTATATTTTCTGTTAGTGGAGCAGGCAGAGGACTCAGGACCTCTTCCAGCACAGCATGGAAATGATCTCTGGGGCCTAAGGAAGCAAGGGGAGGGCCAAAAAGGGGGTCCTGGAGCCAGGAAAGGGCATGGAGGTAGTGTGGCCTGTTGGGCTGGTGGCACCACGATTTCTGCCAGACCCTGCCCCAGAGCCCCGCGGAGCCAGGGCTGTCCCTCTACTGCCTGCCCCAGATGGTTTCCAGAGAAGGCGCTGTTGCCATGGGAACACTCCTCCAATTATTCTACTTTGCAGAAAATCACTTTTCAGCCAACTTGGCTAGAACATGTCCTTTCTACAGAGCAAAAATCGCATCGTGGTTTTTGACCTCACCCATGACCAAATATTTGAGTGGAGAAGTGGCCTGGAGACTCGGGCCACAGGAGAGATGGTCATCCAGCTGGAGCTGGCAGGAGAGACACAAGCCCTGTAATAAACCGCAGGTGGGCTCCCGGTACCTGCAAGTTGACAGATGAGTAGGAACCTCCCTAAGGGACGCAGGGACAGCAGGGGTGCAGAAGGACTGGGGTTGATTGATTCCACTCAACCAGTAGCCCTGAGGGCCAGGCTCTGCTACACACTAGGAAAGCAGAGATGCTTCCGGCACCACTCTCTGCCTCTGTGGGGAGGCTCAGAATCCAAGGGGGAGTGGACACTGGTGAACAGATGGATAGCAATAACTGACAAGGACAAAGATAGAATATGATGTAGGTAGTAAGAAGTTGCTCAAGGGAGGAGAGAAAATGAAGGAGGGTGACTTGGAGGCTGGGTTTTGACATATGAATAGGAGTTTGCCAAGTAGACAAAGGGTGAGGGAGGGTGCTCTGGGTGAAGGAAATAGGTAAGGAATGGAGTTATGCAACAACAAAGCACATTATGAGAACAACAGGTTGTTGAGTAGTGTCCCAGCATAAAACACCAGGGGGAGAGGCAGGATCATCAGGCTGGAAGCTGAGCACGCCCTGCAGAGTCCGGTGTTTGGCCTGTGTGCAGTGGGAAGAATTCCCATCGGACTGGCATTTGACAAAGGTAGGCAGGACAGAGAGCAGGAAGGAAGGGCAGAAGACCAGCCAGGAGGCAAGAGGCAAAGAAGCCTGCACCAGAGCCAGTGTCACGCAAAAGCAGCAGGAAGAGAGAGGATCAGCAGGCCTGGGGCTGGGGGGATGGAGGGCCAGGGCCAGGAATGAGAAGGTCCTGCCAGTTCTCAGCCTTGGGAGACAAAGTTTAGAGATGGTTTAAACCAAAAGAGGGACAGAGGAAGGCTTGGTCTGTCCCCAAATGAGGCAGATTGAGTCCGAGGAGGAGGGTCCCAGGGAGCATCAAGGAGGTCAGCAGTGTCAAGCGCTACTGAGCCAGACTGCCTGAGTTCCAACCCCAGCACTGCAGAATACTAGCTGCGTGGCCTTAGGCAAATTATTGAACCTCTCTGAGGCTGTTTCATCTTCTGTAAAATAGCCCCCACCTCACTGCGTCCTTATGAGCATTCACTGAGGCCCATGTGAAAGGCACAGAGCCCAGGATGGGAGCTGATACAAGTCCCAGACTCCAAGTCCAGGGCCCTTCTGCAGCCTTCATGGCACGTGGCCCCTGAGAGGCTCGGTAAAAGCATTGTGTGCAGGGCCACCCTTTTCCAGTCCCGTGAGCCTGCCTGGTACCCTCCAGAGTGAAGACCACCTTGTCCAGCTGCCCCTCCTCCTCATAACTCACCTGGCCATGCTAGGCACAGCAGAGCGAAGATGCATTTCACAAGCAAGCGAGACCCATTACACCTAGAAATGTATGGAATGCTGGGCTGGGTGCGGAGGCTCACACCTGTAATCCCAGCACTTTGAGAGGCCAAGGCAGGTGGATCACAAGGTCAGGAGCTCAAGACCAGCCTGGCCAAGATGGTGAAACCCCATCTCTGCTAAAAAAAAATACAAAAAAATTAGCTAGGCGTGGTGGTGGGCACCTGTAATCCCAGCTACTGGAGAGGCTGAGGCAGAGAATTGCTTGAACCTGGGATATGGAGGTTGCAGTGAGCTGAGATCATGCCACTGCACTCCAGCCTGGGCAACAGAGCAAGACTCCCACCAAGAAAGAAAGGAAAGAAAAAGAAAGAAAGAAAGAGAGAGAGAGAGAAAGAAAGAAAGAAAGAAAGAAAGAAAGAAAGAAAGAAAGAAAGAAAGAAAGAAAGAAAGAAAGAAAGAAATGGCATGCTGTATCACATGGAAAATGGCAATGCCTGAAATTCCAGGCTCCCTCCAGCTCCCCTCTGAATACACATCCTCCAGGCACATCTCAGAAGCACAAGGGTGGGAAGAAGGGCCTGGCTCCCCGACGCCTGCCCGAATTCAGGGTTGCTTGTCTGATTTCAGACCGGCAGCTCTCTATTCAACCATGTCTACCCTGCTTCCCTGGGGGAAGGACTCGTCCCCTTACACGACTTGTTTCACCTTTAGGAATCAGTGGACGGTTGGACATAGCAAGGAAATCCTCCCGCCACTCAGCTCAAAATGGAAGATGCTCCTGTTCCTCACCCCTTCTGGTGTGTGTGGAACCAACAGCCTGATGAGGTTAAGGAGCAAGCCAGGATCCGCTCAGCCCAGGAGGAAGGAAAGGCTTTCAAAAGCCATGAGTCCAACTCACTTAGCTGCTCTTCAGTGAAGGGCAAGCCCATGGTTCCCTGCATGCACAGAGGCACACCCGGCCTGCATGCTCCTCCCTGCTCCTCCTGAGATGCTGCAGGCTGTGCAGATGTGAGCACTTTGTCCTCCCTCACTTGTGTCATCTCGGGCACTCCCTGCAAGAGGCCTGCTCTGCCTCTGAGTTCCTAGTCTTAGTTCCTGAGGGCCTGCCTTAGTTACTTTGCATGTGCTGATTGGACATTAATCCCAAGCAGGGTATTCTACTGACCTGGGTGGTGCTGCTTTTTGTGGAACAGGGGCGTTCTTTGCCAGCTTGCCCACTCTGTGGACCTTGTGTGCATGTGGGTGGCTGTGTTCAGCGGACGAGCTGCTGGCACTTGGGATGGGACAGTCCATCTCCTACCTCCTGGCCGCGTCTTGGAGAAGTCTGAGGCAATGACTTCCCTGGACAATACACACCTCTCCCCCAGATGTGCTGTGGGCCCTTCACCCGCAGTCATCTGGAAGGTAGCTCTGGCATGAGAGTTCTTCACCAACTCTGAGCCCCTCAAAGATGCTCACCTGGCTCAAGCCACTTCCACCTCCTTCCTCCTGTGCCTAGCACAGTGCCAGGCATGTAGGAGATGCTTGGTAAATGTGTGTTCATTCGTTCATTCATTCATTCATTCATATCTCTAAGATGGTCTCATTCTCCCTAGTGGCCAGCATTCCTCCACAAGAGACCGGGAACCTGGCATGTCTGTGTAAGGAGACCCTCCGCGCAGGGCTGGTGGGGCCACGTGGCCACTGAACAACGAAACAGAAGAAGCTGGCCAGGGGAACTGGGCAGAGGCATGTCCGGGGACCAGGGAGCATGAGCACCGGTGGGCAGCTCCACCAAGCCTGGCTGCTGACCACAGAGAGCGGACTGGGGGAGTCCAGGCATAAAGGCCAAGGTGTGAACTTGAACCCCAAAGGAGCGGAGGAGACTGAAGCAGCAGAACTCTGGTTGGGGCGGACAGCCCAAAGGCCGTCCTGCAGAGCAGTGGTCAACACCAGAGGAGCATTTGAATGGCACTCCTTCAGGTATCGCCCCTACCCCGTCACCCATCCCCATCACCACCCCACTCTGGAAGCAGAGGCTGTCTTCCACAAGCCAGGGATCCTTAGATCCCCAGGGCATCTGGGATCATCTCTATGCATCTTGTCCCCTCCCCGCCCATTGGTATCTCCTCCCTTCCCCCTTTTCCCCACCATTTCCCAGGACAAGGACCTCACTGCTAACTCTTGGGAACCTTCATTGTTGGCATCTGGAGACCTCCACAGTCTCAGACACCCACATACACACCCACACACACCCCATTATCCTAGACCATGCAATGGTGTCCTTGAGAGGCATCTCAGAGCAGGGCACGATCATGAGCTTGGGGGCTCGACAGACCTGGGTTGGAAAACCAGCACTCACATCTATGTGGCCTTGAACAAGCCACCCTCCCAGGCCTGAGGTTTGCTCCTCTATTCCGAGGAAGGGATGATACTGTCCCCACCCCTAGAACTGCTGGGAAGGAGAGCCATGGGATGACATGCAGACAGCACCTGAGACAGAGCATCCCCCTCCTCTCCACTGCCCCCTGCCCCACCCTGCTCTGTGGGTGAAGTGATCACATCCTCCGCACCCAAAACTGGAACGTATGGTTTGACAAAGGATTTCTGGGCTCTTGCTAGATACATAAAGGGATTTGAAGGATACCACCTGAATGTCAAAATAGCAGGAAATTTACCTCCTGCAGGTGGAGCTGACTTTGGAAACAGGCCTGCTCTGGGACTCAAAGCTGAGTCTCCCACACAGACACAAGGGTTGGGCCTGCCTGACCCCAGATGTCCAGCCTTCCCTCACCTGCTACCTCGGCCATTACCCAGAGGCCTGGGTTACAGTGTGCCCACCCCTGTCCTTGATACAGCAAGGACTGATCATCCCTGGCTCAGCCTGGAGCTGGTGCCAAGAGCAGCCCGCCAGGCAGAGAGAGAACTCAGTCCACCCCTACCCGGAAGGCAAATGATACAAATCAGAGGTGCATCAGACCCTCCCCAGCCCCAGCATCACTGCAGGTGGAGACAGACACAACAGGTGCCTGGGCTTCCACTACAAATCACCCTATTGGAAAAAAAAAAAAAAGAGGAAAGATGTCCATAATGGAAAACCATGACTCCATTTTGTTTGTTTGTTAAGGCAAAGCTCTCAGCTCTGCGGAACAATCCCAGCTTCCTTGTGATTTAATAAAAAGGTGGGGCATTTGGTCCACCTTAAAGGGCCAGGCATCATTTTCCGGATGTCTGTTTCATTGGAAGGAGACTGAATCTCTTCCTTTCTAAAACAATAAAAAGGTGGATAATTAGCATGTAACGGTTAATGGGTAATTTTACAGGGGTGAGCTGAGTTCATAACATCATTCTGAATATATTTGCATTTAACTGAACTCCTTTTTCCTCTCTCTCTTCTGTGACTTTTTTGTTGTCACTGTAATTATTTTAATTGAGATCTTCCCCTAATGAAAACAAAGAACAATGTCTGCGGGAGGCTTCTGAGCGGCTGTGAGCTCGGTGGCGCCTCCTCTCCCGTCAGCTCAGGGTGCCCAGGGCACCTCACTCAGCCTCCAGAGACTTCCGCCCTCCCCACCTGCGCTCTTACAAGGCTCCACCGACAACAGGAGCAGGCAGGGAGGCTTTTCATATGCATGTGTGCCTGTGTGTGTGAGGGCATGCGGGTCCACATGTGTATGCATGTGTGCCTGTGTGTGTATATATATGCATGTGGGTGTGCATGTGTTCATGTGTGCATGTATGTATGTGTGTGTCCATGTGTGCATGTATATGCATGTGGGTGTGCATGTGTTCATGTGTGCATGTATGTGTGTGTCCATGTGTGTATGTATATGCACGTGTGTGCATATGTATGTGTGCATGCATGTGTGTGTGTGTCCATGTGTGCATGTATATGCCTGTGGGTGTGCATGTGTTCATGTGTGCATGCATGTGTGTATGTGTGCATGCGTATGCATGTGGGGTGTGCTTGTGTTCATGTGTGCGTCCATGTGTGTATGCATGTGTGTGTCTGTGTGACCATGTATATGCATGTGGTGCTGTGCATGCATGTGTGCGAGTGTGTATATGCATGTGGAGTGTGTGTTCGTGTGTGCATGCATGTGTGTGTGCCCATGTGTGTGCATGTATATGCATGGGGAATGTGCATGTGTCTGTGTGTGCACACAGGAATGTACGTGTGTGTGCTTTTGTGTGTGCATTTGCCTTCCTTCATTCCTTCCCCACCAGTTCCAGGACAGAGTCTTGCTATGTTGTACAGGCTGGACAGTGCAGTGGCTGTTCACAGTGGCTGATCACAGGTCACTGCAGCCCCGATCTCCTTGTCTCAAGTGATCCTCCTGCCTCAGCATCTAAGTAGCTGGGACCACAGGTGCCCACTACTGCGCCAGCTTCTGTGCAGACATGCCAAGGCACAATGTGAACATTCAGGAAGCTCAGAGAAAGCCTGTGGTCCCCAGAAAGGGGAGCTCAAAGTCAGCTCCTAGGGACAAGGTCAGCAAGGAGCGAGCTTCAGGCTGTCCATCACGTGTTAATCACCTTGGCTTTGGGGTCCTAGATGTCCCAAACACAGACATGCCTCCTCACAGAAGCCCCTGTCCCAGCACAGAGGGGCTACCCTCGTTTCCCCAACCCCCTGTCCCTCCACGTGGTCACCAGGACCATTGCTCAGGAAGGCCAGTCCCTGGGAAGGAACGGTAACCTTCCCAGAATAAAAGCCATGGTCTAGGCCACAAAGAGACCATTTGTGAGGCCAACAGGGCCTCAGCACAACTGGGGACACAGGCGGGCAGCAGACCCTGGAAGACCCATCCCTGGAAGTCCTGGTCAGGAGGGGCCCCTGCCCCACCCCCTCGGCCCAGCCCAGCAGGGCACCTCTCCCAGAGCCTGTCCCTTCTCCCTCTGCCCCAATAAAAACCTTTCTTCCAGGAGTGCTGAGTGGCTGGGGGGCAGGCAGAGGAAACTCCACCCTGATTTTTCATTGTTTTTACAGAAAAGTTAGTTTCTGCCAAAAGGAAAAAATTAAAATGGGAACAGCCTCCCCCACCCCTGGGGAATTGTTATTCTCTTCATTAAACCCTCTGGCCTGGCCTGGCCCGCCACCGATGCTGGGCCTGGCAGGTCTTTTCTGCGCCTTGGCTGAAGAAGGCCTTCCTGCTTCCTGCTCAGAAGGCCCAGGCCTTGTTGGAATTTGAATCCAAAGCAAAAGAGGCAGGACCAGTTGGCCTGGGCGTGAGTAGGAGGGGTGAGGAGAGAGGGCCCAAAAGCAGAGATGTGGCCCCTCTGCGGCCACCTCCGGACCCCAGCCAGCTCTCTGGACACACAAGTAGGGTTCTGATTCATAAAAGCTGTCGCTGAGTCTCTGCAGCCCCCGAGGCTCCATCAGTCCTGAAGTTTATCCTCCTTCCCTCTCCTTGGAGAAATCCCCAGACCCTGCGATCCCAACCCTCTCGGGCTCACCATGAAAGCCACTGAGCTGTGGGCGGTCTGTTTTCCCTTTCCGGCCTCCTCTGAGTCACAGCGCTGGAAGGAGGGGGAAGCTGCTCTTGGAGATGGGCCCTCCTCTTTCCTCCTTGGACGGCTGGGGGTAACTAGCTTTTGATCCCCCGCCCGGCCCGTGGCTGGATGGCTGCACCCTGCTGAGCCCAGGCCAATGCCCCTTCCCAGCCCGACCCATCTCAGCACATCCTGGCTCTCTGCCTGCCTTCCTAGGCAGATGGTGTCTTCAAACTTCTGCCTCTGCTATTTGGGGAGTGGGTAGGGTTGGTGCCTGGGCCAATATAAGTTGCAATGCCTGGAAAGAGAGGACAGGAGACGTTCACCACTCCCACCACCTCCAGAGAAATCCAAGGCAGAAGTGAGGCAAAGGCCAGCAGGGCGGTATACAGGGCCAAGGGGACGGTGCGGGTGTGAGCACTGCCTGCAGCCCATTTCTCTTCTGGGCTTGCGGACTGCGCTCCCCACCGCCAGCGCCTGCGTGTCTTTCTCCGGCCACGAGCGCAGCACACCAGAAGTGCCAGCGAAGCAACACCTGCCTCCAACCAAAGTGCCCTCAGTCAACGCCCAGCAAGGCTTGGGGCATGAATGCCCAGGTCCCTGAGTCCTGAGGGATGAGCCTCCACCCGCCTCCCAAAGGTCCCGCAGGACCGCGCTGCAGCCGCCTGCAGTGGTAACCAGCTTCACAGCCCACTGTCTCTGTGCAAAGGTCCGTCCCTTCCCCAACTCAGTTCTCACGCCCCCGCCTGTGACCCTGGGATCACCTCCCGAATAAACTACTGAGACTCAAGTACTTGAGCCAGAGTCTGCCTCGGAGGGAATCCAGAATCCGATGGGAGGGGAGGGGAGGCTCCAGCCACCTGCTTCCCCATCGTCTTCACTCACATAAAGGGATCCTGCTTCTTTCCTGATGTCCCGCTTAATGGGACTGGATTTATCTTCAAAAGTCCTGGTTTGACTCTGATTGAAAACCAGTGTACTCCCCGTGGTGACTGACGGCTCTGTGGGTGTTTGTTTTGTTGAAGAGAATTGGCTCATCTGAGTCAGCTGTGCGCCACGCCCCCCACCCCACCCCTGACCCCGGGGCTGCTGATTCAGTCTCAGAGAGATGGTTTACTTTAAGCGTCAATTTGACCTGGGCTAAGGGGTGCCGGGCATTATTTCTGGGAGAGTGTGTGAGGATGTTTCCAGGAGATTCGCATTCGAATCAGTCAAGATCTGCCCTTGCCGAGATAGATGGACATCAGCCAATCCATCCGGAGCCAGCAGAACACAAAGGCAGAGGAAGAGTGAATTTTCTTTGCCGAAGCGAGCACAGACACCTTCTCCCACCTGCGGACCCTGGAGCTTCTCCTGGGCCTATCCCAGCACCCGACCACTGCCTCTTCTGGTTCTCAGGTCTCTGGAGCCAGGCTGAGTTACAATGCAGGCTTTCCTGGACCTCCAGCTTGCAGACACCATTTCCTGGGACTTCCCAGCCTCCAGCATCGTGTGAGCTGATCCCCATCATGTTTTCGCTTGCATATTTGTATAGATCCTATTGGTTCTGTTTCTCTGGAAAACCCCGACTAATACACTTGGGCTCCATTACTGAAAGTATTGTCTCCTTAAGAAGCGAAATGAGAATAACCTCCTCCACTCCCACCTGACACCCTCTAGCCTCGGGGTCCCAGCCCCAGGGGACCATCGGACATTGGAGCTTCAGCAGGAGCTGAGGGTGGGTGAGCAAGTGAAACTTCATTTGTATTTACAGCTGCTCCTGATCACTCGAAATGTGCTCTGAGCTCCACCTCTTGTCAGATCAGCTGCTCATTAGATGCTCACAGGCGCGTAAACCCTTTTGTGAACTGCACATCTGAGGGATCTAGGTTGCTCGCTCCTTATGAAAATCTAATGCCTGATGATCTGTCACTGTCTCCCGTCACCCCCAAAGGGGGCCATCGAGTTGCCGGAAGACAGGCTCAGGGCTCCCATTGATTCAACATGATGGTGAGTTGTAGAGTTATCTCATCCTATATTACAGTGTCATGATAATAGAAATAAAGTGCAGGTGTGATGCGTTTGAATCATCCTGAAACTATCCCCTGCCCCTAGTCCACGGAAAAATTGTCTTCCATGAAATCGATCCCTGAGGCCAAAAGGTTGAGGACCACTGCTCTAGCATATTATTTAGTTTTTGGTAAAGAGGGACAGGGGAGGAGAGAGTAAATCATATTACAGTGAACTAATCAGGAAGGTAAGGGTTGAAATCAGGCTCCTTGAAAAATTATTAATACTGGAGAAAACAAACTCAGGAGGGATAAAAGCCTCTCTTCAAGAATGCTAGAGGCTGCCCTGCTACAAAGAAAACAGATGCACAGGGGGTCAGCGCAGTGGCTCACGCCCATATTTTCAGCACTTTGGGAGGCTGAGGTGGGTGGATCATGAGGTCAGGAGTTCAAGACCAGCCTGACCAACATGGTAAAACACTGTCTCTACTAAAAATACAAAAATTAGCCAGGCATGGTGGCAGGCACCTGTAATCCCAGCTACTCAGGAGGCTGAGGCAGGAGAATTGTTTGAGCCTGGGAAATGGAGGGAGCCAAGATTGCACCACTACACTCCAGCCCGGAAGACAGAGCAAGACAAGAAAGAAAAGAAAGAAAGGAAGGAAAGAAAGAAAGAAAAGGAAGGAAGGAAGGAAGGAAGGAAGGAAGGAAGGAAGGAAGGAAGGAAGGAAGGAAAGAGAAAGAAAGACAGAAAAGAAAAGAGATGCACTCTTTGAGCCTTGTCTTAGCCCATCTGTGCTTCTGTAACAAAACACCTTAGACT